AAATAAATAATGCATTAAGCATTTGGCGTGACAGAAAATAGTAATTAGAATTTGAATATATATTTTTTGATTTTAGAGCATCCATACCATACTCTTGTTGTTCTAAGTGGATTATTAACAAACTGAGCACTCCGATATACTTTCGCTTAAAATTTCACACATGACATATGACAAACACAAGAGCTCTGGGAAATTTAAATATTTCCTATGAATATTTGTAATCAAAGGCTATAGTCGTGCGGGGCCGACCATGTGATACCCTACAACACAACAATATGTTCAAAGTCACCTTATATCCAAATCTATTTTGGAAGATTTCGTTTTTGAAATAATGTCAAATAGCCCCGCCCAGAGGTTACCCTTAGTTCTTTGACCCGGAGAATTTGGCCAATATTTACGTACTCCGTAGTGTTGTTAAGTATTCAAAACAGTTTCACACGAAAGTTGTGGTCCATTTTAAAGCTAAATATAATCCAATGGTCATCCAAAATGCTAGACTTCTTCTTCGTCCTTAACTCTGTTCTGATGCGAAATTCCGTGTCGATTAGTTTTCAGTTGTGGCCTATAGAGCGACTACAAAATTAGAAAAAATTAAATTTTTTTAGTCCATTTGCACCTCTAAATGTAGATCTTAAGAACAATAGGCTTTAATTCTGACCCTAACCCTACCCCATGCAAAATTTCGTGAGGATCGGACGATAATTGCGATATGCATATAATACCCTCAAAACGTAGTGTTGTTAGAGAAATTATAATTCAAAATTGTAAGTCAAATTGAAAAAATCGCATGCGAAAAATTGAAAAAAATCGACAAAAGGTATTCACTTTTTTATTGGTATATTTTTCCGCGATTTTCTTAGATTTTATCGTTGTCTGGCAAGAGACCATTCCGAATTGATGGGAATTGTGGAAATCGGTCAATTACAAATACAAATTTTTAGTCATATCCGTTGGAAAATATGACAATAAAATAATCAAAATATCAAACATCGAAAGGTAGCGTTATATGGGAACTATACCAAAACGCGGACCGATATATCTCATATTCAATTCCAACCATCCTAGACACAATACAAATTGTTCTGCTAAAACAAATTGTTCTGCTCTACGTCAAATAATGTGGGCTGTATCGTGATTTCAACAGACAGATGGACAGAATACAAATACTTTATGGAGTCTACGCTGAATATTTAGGGATGTTACAAACGGAATGACAAAGTTATTATACCCTCCATTCCAAGGTAGAGGGTATAATTAGTATTTGTATGTCATAATAGTGTATTGTATGTATCCACGTTTTTGTTTAGTCTCCACATAACGGTACCTCCGGATATTCAGTATTTTTATGATATTGCCACATTTTCCACGGATTTGTCTAAAAATTGTTATAAACGGAATGAAAGGAGGAAATGAGGGTATATTAACTTTATACCCTCCTTTCCAAGGTGGAGTGTATAATAAATAAATTCAAGTTTATGATAAAGAAGAATTATGAGTCATATATAAAATTATAATTTTGACATATATACGAAAATGTAAAACCCTTATAGTCTGTTAACAGCTTAACATCGCACCATTACAAGCCATTTATTTTGAATTTTGCAAACTACCTCATTAATAATGTGGTAGTATGTTTTGGATCATTGACCTGTTAGAAGATCCACAAAAGCGGCATTTTTTCTCTGGCATATGAGAGCATGATTCCATGCAAAACATTTCGACATTCATTAATTTCATATATAATATTAGAATCTCATAATCATATCACTCCAAATTCTTATATCCAATCTATTTTTTGTTTTCCTTTGGTGCATATTCCACTGATGAATTATCTCAAACTCGTGTTTCTTATTTACTTCGAACATACAGATTTTGTATGAGTGTATGTGCAACAATTATTATTTAATGTTTATTATTTATCTGTTATTTATGTTGTTAGTTACAGACACTTATGGTCAAATGTCTTTACGACAATTTTGTGTTTTATATTGATTACGATTTGCTTGAATTCTTTGGTTATTTTTTTTTCTTCTTACCAATAAAACTATAACAGAGTTCGAGACGGACATGACGGATCAAACAAACTAAAATGAAAAACAACAAAAGATCATGCTTTTGAAATGTAAACCACATCAGATGGCGAAAATTGCTCTGACCGAACCACACCTCATTTAGAAGGGAATATATATATATATATATTTTTTTTTCTTGTTGCTATTTTCTTATTTCTGTACTGTGTTGTTGGTGTTATGGTTTTGTACTGTTTTCTGTAAAAGTTTACAGAAATACCAATAAATAATATAATTTACTTTAAACTTGAGGCATTTGGTATTAATGTGCTGCTTACAAACTGGAACTGGTTATGGGGCTAAAGAAAAGGAAAAAAAAAACACAAAATAACAACAATAAAATAAAGATATCCGTTTGTAATTAATTTTTTTTTTTTTTGTTCTAGTTTTATTTGTTTTTGCTCTAGCTCACAATTTTCATTTTGCTTTCACAGTAACCCACCCGAGTGGCTGTTGGTGTGAGAACCAAGAAAAAATCGTATTTACATAATTAGAATATTGGCTAATTATTATGTTAATTCTTTTTTTGGTTCTACTTTTGAGTGTGTCTTTGCATATTGAGGAGAAAGTTAAACTGGAAGTGGTTCAACTTGATACCGTGCCAAGCTAATGCATTTTGTTGAAATTTGCATGAAACAAAAGACTTAAGACACAAGCGCGAGCTACAAGGTTATAACAAGTTCCACTTACACTTTTGATTATTCCGATCCCTTTCAAATAATATTAACAATGTACTTACAAGCCGACATATACATATATGTTTAAAATATATATCAAGCAATTTTTAATTACTTTTATCTTAATTCAGCACACAATCTAATGCAAATACTAAGCCGAAACAATGTTTTGGTAATATGCAAAAGCGGAACCAATAACTGTCAAGACTATCTGAACACAAAGTTTTGTAGTTAAGCTGAATTTTAAGGTAAAATTAATATCTTGTTTATATTTCATTTATTGTTTGTGTGCATATATCCAAGAGATCAACCTTATTTACTTTACCGTCTGGCTGGCTGGTGCGCACGATTACACTCGAAGGAGTATTGGTTGGTTCAAACATAGTACATCGTAACATTGTTATCAAACATAGAACGAGTTCGGAAATGTACAATATTGATCCACTTATTCAGGTATCTCCTACAAAAAAGGTCAACATTTTAAAGAAAATAATATTTGCACTATTACTATGCCAGGTATGAAAGCTGATATTGATATCAGATTTCTGGTACCTCTCCCACAAAGGGTAAATTTTTGAATAAGTACAACTTTTATAAAAATTTGAAACAGAAGCCCAATTATGTATATTACACAACGAGGGCCTATACATACAATGTTTCGCCACACGAGCTAGAACCCATTGTATCCTACAAGTACCAATTTTTAGACAAATCCATAAAAATGTGGCAAAAATCATCGAAATACCGAATATCGAGAGGGGGCTATACCAAAACGTGTGCCTATACATACAATGTTTCGTCACACGAACTAGAACCCTTTGTACCCTACAAGTACCAATTTTTATACAAATCCATAAAACATGTGGTAAATATCTTCGAAATACCCCAGCCCACACTTCCGGCTAACCACCCATCCATCCCCCTCCACAAAAGTTCAGCATTTTCAATATTTACGCACATATCTCATGTAAAGTTAAACAAGTATTCGATACAGTTCAAACCTGGTATGTGACAATATTTATATCATACTAAGGCCAGATGCAAATGGACTATATTGACTCACTTTTTCGGTACTCCCCCTGTAAAGGGTCAACATTTTCAATAGTCATAAGACATGTCAAAATATAATTTAATAATGTCATGACACGAATTTTTTTGGAAATGCACATTTTATTAGAAATTCATGTGTTTTATGCGGTCCCCACAAATATTTCAAAACGTTTTCTATAGGGCCAAACAAATATATTTTCCATTTTGACACTTCACCTAAATTTGATCAAAAAACCAGACATTCGAACAACATGGATATTTCGTATCTCATATACTAGATTCATTAAAAATTGTGCAATGTGTAACCTAACTTTGCTACCTAAAATGCTATTTACAAAGCTTGGACCAAATCCCATATTACTATCGAAGTCGACTCAAAGTATCCTGAAACGGATTTAATTCGAAGAAACATAAAACCAGAAATGATGGACATTTTGGCCGTATCAAGTGATGTCACTCTCTGTATAAAATTCAGTAATTGCCATTCAGAATCTTGGATAATCAAGATAAACATATGGTGTAAGCCTCTAGGTCCTCTGCCGCCTTTAAAGTTTTTTTTTTTTTTTTGTTTTTTGTTTTCAAAATTAAACAAGTTTCGAGTTCAAAGTATGCAATCGACTCAACCCCGGAGCCAACGCCACAACTTGCTTACCAACAAAATGTGTATATGTTTTGCTATTGGAATTCACTTCGAATTCTTCTTAGTAAATGTAATCGAGAGCAAAAGCTGTGAATGTTACATTTACCAAACGTCCGCTTAGTTGTAGTTTTCAATCAGAATAAGAAAACGCTCTTGATATTTTTTCTTTTCAATTATGGTTGTTGTTGTTGCTGCTGCTGCCTTGTATTATTAATCTGTGGTAGATAGTGCCAGCGAACTATGCGGCTATTATTATTACGTTTATAACTTATTTGAAAAGTGCGCGGGCAGGTAATGCTACTCCCAGTTTCATAGCTTACTTACGTGGAGTAATGTTGTTGTTGCTGTTGACGTTGTTGTCATTGTTTCTGTTCTTTCGACAATACTGACTGGCTTCAATACCATCAACAACTAGCAAAGATTGACTGCAACAGAACTACCCGTATCCGTGCCTAATCACAAAGCTTGGCGTATGTATGTCCGTCCGTCCGTCATTTGTGTGGTTTTTGTGTGGCTCCGACCAAGGTTTTACACCATTTGCCTATAAAAGTCTCCAACGGTTCATTGCAGCAAACAGTTTATTCAAATCGTTTGTCGTTGTCGGACTTTAAAGCCAACGCCGTATTTTCGTTGAGCATAGTTGGCGTTTAAGTGCCAACAAAATCCTTTTTTTTTGATTAACGGACCCTAACGTAAAGGCCTCGGATTTATTTGTGAAAACGTAGCAGTTTACTGTGTCGCTTAAGAAAAAAAGGATTACCTGTCGACAACAAAATACACAACAAAAATGTTGAGATTTGTGAGTGTCTATTGAAAGAAATAAATTGAAATCACACTTCAATAATTGAAAGACAGTGGATACATTTGATTATCGAACAAATTAAATTATAAACTAATGTTGTGAATTAAGTTTTTTTTTATGAACAACCGTTTTTTATGAACAACCGTTATTATTTAAAATATCGTTATATATTGGAAATCTATAGGTCACTTTTCTCAAGATTAAAATGTCGAAAAATATTTTATATCTATGCATCCCATTTTCGCATTGAGTTTTGTGGAAGTATCAAACTTTTTCGAAAAATCTGGATCCTCATTCTCGTTTTATAAGATTTATGATTTTAAAAAAAATGTATCATGATTTTTGAATCCTTTTGGTGGAGGTATGGAAAACATAAGTCTAAATGTGATACAAAATTTAAGATGTGCGATATTATAAATGACACACAGTGCTTCAGACTTCGATTTTTATGACCAAACTCTAATTTTCGACCTCACTAATATCTATCATATTTATCGGATTCAATAGTTTACATATAAAAACAAAGGTAGGCAAAAGTTAGGATGAACATTAAGGATGTGGTCGTGCTCCTAAAGATGCCCAAAAAATGATATTATTAGATTTCTGATGGTAATTCCTCAAGAGTCACCGAACCAATATTTATAATAAGTAAAAAAGTCAAAAATGTTCGGGTCATACAGAAACGATTCTAATAGACTAAATCTCATCTTCACGTTAAAACTTACAGAGAGAAATATTAGGGTGTGCGAAATTTGGAAAGACATTGTAATGTATTTCTCATTTCAAGAAGAATGGTTATTAAAAATGTTGAAATTATGTTGCGGAAATCTCAAGAAGTGTTGGGCCATATTGTCATTTTCTTCTGGCATAAGTGTGATATAAATATTACGCTGCGCGAAGATTTGACTCTAGTTTCAGGGGTTAGAGTGCGTACCAGCAAGCCAAAAAAATTAAATTAAAAAATAAACGTCGCCGTTATCAAAGGTATAATTACCAAAAAACTTATAGATTAGGAACCCCTTATAATAGTTATGTACATTTCTGTCTGGAAATACAATTAAAATCTTCAAAATACGAGTTATGTTAAATAACATCAGGAGCGAAAATCGGACACATATGCACACTTTTTCTGGTACCATCAGGTGCAAAAAATTCACAAAATCGATCCTTTTCTCTCAAACAAAATATTTAAATTTTCAATAAAAAATCTCATACTTAGTACCTTCGAAAACTTCACACCATACTGAGTGTTAAGATGGGATATATCGGCCAAAACCTCCTAGTAGATTCTCGCCAAAAGGCAAAAAAATTATAAATAATATATACAAGGTGAGATAAAAGAACTGCAACACTGCAAAGTCAAATGTCAAAATTTTTACATATATTTTTTTTTTAATTTTATTGAAAGAAAGCAAAAAATGTCGGAAATAGGATCAAATTTTAGGAAAAGCTTAGATTTGTTCGAATTGGTCAACTTTGGCACGAATTCAAACGGCCAATGAAACCAATGTTGTTTGCGGCAATTTGCCCCCATTCCCGGCGAAGCGCTTGCTTGAGGTGACACTTTGATATTTTTAGTGCCAACCTTGCTTTCCAAAATACTCCAGACACAACAGTCCAACGGATTGGTATCCGGAGATTTTGGTGGCCATTGTGCGCAGAAAATGAAGCGAGAACCTCATTTTTTAACCATTCTTGGGTGGCGCGTGCTGAGTGCGATGGTGAGTCCTTTTGGAATGTCGTGGAATGCAACCTCATAAAAATTTTCGCGATAGTATTTGGCATTTATTCTGATGGCACAGTCGATTAATACGAGCGGAGAGCCAACATCGGCAGTCATGGCGGCTCACACTCCCACATGGTCGTCGCTTGAGTTCTGGTGGCCAACCGAAGGTTCACATTTCCAGCTGACCTCTTTGGCAAGTAAACACGATCATTTTGTTCGTTTACAAACTGCTGTACAACGAATGTTTTCTCATCGGAGAAAACCAAATTCGATAGTTCACCACTTTCGGCCAAGCGGAGCAACTCTTTAGCTCTTTTGAGTCTATTTTTACTGCTGCGGTGTAAATTCTTGCACTTTTTGGAATTTTAATGGCTCTCTGGATAAGCTCATTTTTCAATATTTGCCGAATGGAATATTGCGATATGTTGAGCCGAGCCAACAGACCCTTTATAAAATATGAGTAAAATCTAGCAAAAATCTGAAAATTTTAACGATATAATACAATGTTGAAAGATTATTATCTTTTAAAAGATTTTATTTTTTTATTTGAATTTTCTCAAATCCTTGAGCTAGACCAATATATTGGATGATACTTATTAGGCATAAATGTCGTTGATAATTGCCTTTGCTTGCTTATTTCCTCATGGTTTACTTATGTTTCCCTAATATTTTTACACATAAATATTATAAAATAAACAAACGCCTTAAGATCAGCAATAAATAAGGTAGGGACATTAGAATAATAAAGTGTTAAAATTTTTCAAAATATTCCTTTTTGTGTAAAAATAATTGTTGTATTTACCAATTACATTGAAAATTTTAAATTAAAATAATTTCTTTTCAGATCACCCTAACCGCACTCATTGCTCTGGCAGCAGGTCAAGGATATCATAGCGATCCCAAGACAGCAGCTATTATAAGCGAGCAGCGTTATCTGTCTGGTGACGGCAAATTTGGTGCTGCCTACACCCAAGAGGATGGCATTAACTTCAAAGAAGAGACCGATGCTGATGGTACACGTCATGGCAGCTACAGTTATGTAGATCCAACTGGTCAGAGGAGAACTATTTCGTATACAGCCGGCAAAAATGGGTAAGTCAAACAATATTTGATCTATGTTATGTGAAATTATTGAGAATAAATCAATGCACCATCAATGCAGACACAGGTGTGTGAGAAAAAACAAAATTCGCATCAATTGGGTGCGACTAAACCAGTTATGGGTTTCTTGTTTTGGGAAATAAACAACTATGACTCATTACATTGAACAAATATGGTTTGTATGTTTTTGAAGTTGCATAAGAACTATATGTGCGAATACAATTTAAAACAAGTTAAAAAGCAGTAAGTTCGGCCGGGCCGAACTTTTAATACCCTCCACCATTTACAACGAATTTGGAAATTTTCAAAAAATAAAATCCTCAAAAAATTCTGTTAAAATTTTAAAAATACCGAATATAGCCGTTATGTTGGGGTCTATACGACGTGGACATACATATGCATTGTTTGTCATAAGCCATTACCATATTCAAATTCGAAACTGGACCCGCACCGACAATTTTCTGTCACAGACTGTAGTTCCCATAACGAACTTCAAATATCAAATTTTAAACAATTCCGGTTAATAATGTCGCTAAAATCATCAAAATACCGAACATAGCGAGGTGCCGTTATATGGGGGCTATACGAAGACGTGGACCTGCACAGACAATTTTCAGTCTTAGGGTGTAGAATCCATTTGGAACTTAAAATACCAAATTTGAAACAATTCCAGTGAATAATGTCGCTAAAATCATCAAAATACCGAATATAGGGAGGTACCGTTATATTGGGGCTATACGAAGACGTGGACCTGCAAAGACAATTTTCTGTCTTAGGGTGTAGTATCCATTTGGAACTTCAAATACCAGATTTGAAACAATTCCCGTGAATAATGTCGCTAAAATCATCAAAATACCAAATATCGGGAGGTACCGTTATATGGGGGCTATACGAAGACATAGACTTGCACAGACAATTTTCTATCTTAGGGTGTAGTATCCATTTGGAACTTCAAATACCAAAATTGAAACAATTCCGGTGAATAACGTCGCTAAAATCATCAAAATACCGAATATAGGGAGGTACCGTTATATTGGGGCTATACGAAGACGTGGACCTGCAAAGACAATTTTCTGTCTTAGGTGTATCCATTTGGAACTTCAAATACCAGATTTGAAACAATTCCCGTGAATAATATCGCTAAAATCATCAAAATACCGAATATCGGGAGGTACCGTTATATGGGGGCTATACGAAGACATAGACTTGCACAGATAATTTTCTATTTTAGGGTGTAGTATCCATTTGGAACTTAAAATACCAAATTTGAAACAATTCCGGTGAATAACGTCGCTAAAATCATCAAAATACCGAATATCCGGAGGTACCGTTATATGGGAGCTATATGAAAACGTGGACCTACATGGCCCATTTACGAACTTAACCTGCCTACTGGAAAAATAAACATGTGTGCAAAATTTTAGCCATCTATCTCAATTTATTCGAAAGATAGCGTGATTACAACAGACAGACAGACGGGCAGACAGACAGACGGACAGACAGACAGACAGACAGACGGACATCGCTAAATCGACTTAGAATTTTACGCTGATCAAGAATATATATACTTTGTTGGGTCTGACATGAGTATTTCGAGGAGTTACAAACGGAATGACAAAGTTAATATACCCTCCATAGTATGGTGGAGGGTATAAAAAGTAAAGACACAATAGGGTGTTTTAAGCTAAATGATACAATTTGTGTGGAATAATGAAGGGATTTAGGTTAGAAATCAAAAATTTATAAAATATTTGTAAAATATGTATTACTAGATAATTTTATGCAATAGGACCTTAACTGACTGTTACTATTAATCAAAAACAAGTAAAAAAGTATCGGTCGGTTTTGCCGACAGATGTATACCCTCAGCCCTCTTCACCCTCTATGGAGTGGGTTTTGAAAGAATGGGTCAATATTGTTCATTTCGTATCGGACCTAAATAAATCTATATATATAAATGTAAGTTGTGTTAGTTACTACGCTTATAACTTAAGAACCGCTGGATTAATTTTAACGATTCACACAAATTCGGAGTTGTCTACTCTCCGAAAAGGATAATATCCAAAAAAATCGCGTAAAAATGTGATATATTAACATTTTCATTTTGACTTTTCAAATGTACAATAGTAATGTTTTATTTTGCATGATTTTTTTCCATTTTGACTTACTTTTTTCTAATGTACATTTGTAGTGTTTTTTTATATTTTATTTTTGAATTCGAATATTTATACCAATTTATTTAATTGACTTGATTTCTTGAGAACTGAAATTGATGGCGGGTTACATGGAAGTGTAGTAGCGAATTATGTGGTGGCGAAACGGAATAGATGATATCGAAATAATTTAACGCGGTCACACCAAAAAAGATAAAGACTTTTTCTAAATCGCTGAAAAATCATGAAAAAGAGATCTCATTGCAAAAATCAAAAAAAACATTTTCAATGGAATCGAATTTTAAAGTAATAGTTCATTCTATTGACGAACTTTGTAAGGAAGGATCTTAAAACATTTGCTGTAAAAAATCAGCGAAAAAGTTGAAGACTTTTTCAATTTGTTAATCTTTTTTTTTTGTCAATTTTTTTTGTGAACAAAATAAAGAATAATTTTTCACTAAAAAAATTGAATAAGTGCGAAATAGGATGTTAACTGACATCTACCTTTCAACTCCAGGGCCTACATCGTGGGTTAGCTGGAAGATGCGAACACGTTTAAACAAACAAAAATGACCGAAAAAGCTTAATGGGGCTCATTTCAAAGCGTGACAATGATCCGTCCAATGAGAGCTCAAAATGCAAAATTCTTTGGGAGAATAATAAGTAATATACCAATATTGAAATAAAAGGTGCAAAATAGTAGAGCGAATGGGACTTTTAGTAAGAAAAGGTTTTATATCCTTCCAGAAATTCTTCCCAAACATTCAAAATACCTAAAATCACTTTTGCAGGTCTTTATATCGATCATAACTCATGGATAAGGGAACAACCCGATTTCATATTTATATAACCATCTATGATTTAAGTTATTTTTGGGGTCTTGGCCGGCCACTTTTTTCATTTTTTGGCCCTTATTTAACATTTTTGTTTCTAAGGGGGTAGATAACCTCTTCGCATAAAATTTGAAATTTTCAGAGTAGGGCCCATATTGGTATTGACCACATTCATCAATTGATTTGGCTAAAAAACTTTATTTATGCCACCCTGGGGTAGGGAACCATCATACAGATAATTGCTACATAGGAATTTATTTAAGTAAAGTCCCCACATTGGAGTATCCCAAGTCCACTTTCACATCTAATGTGTGGTCAGAAAAGAAAATTTTGTATTCTATTGAATTTTTAACCCCCAAGAGAATATTGGTTGGGAACGTAGATTTGGGATGTGCATCCATATGAAATAAATTGTGGAAACATGAAAAAATTGCAAATATAAGAAAGTAGCACGGGACCGAATATTTGTTTAATCATCATTGAATTATCCTATGATGAAAATATGGACTTTAAGGGGTCTCCAACTTACAATTTAAATGGCAAATAAAATTAATTCCCATCTTATCATTCTGCCCTCAATTATGAGGTGGATAAAACTATTTTTACTTATTTAAATCACGCGAAATGCTATGACATGCTATATTGTTCTGCTATATTTTTGATTTGGCCTCTATTTGTCATCTTGGATTATAAGGGGTAGAAGAAAGTTTTCAATGTAGGTCGATGTTTCGGAGTAGTGCCCATATAAAGAAGGTACCTCCTAATTTAACCACATTTCAAAGAATTTGGCTAATAATGCGTATTAGGGGGGTGAAAATCTTACACTAAAATTTCAACATATCTACAAATTTTAGAATTTTTATCCATGTTATAATACCCTCTCAAGTCCACCTTTTGGCGGACAAACAGACTGACATGGTTAGGGGGACTTATGAGGACTCTAATGCACAATCTAAGTTGCTAATGGGTTTAAAAAAGTAATTAACTTTGGCTATTCTTAAATCATTCAGCCCTCAATTATGTAGTATACAAAATACAGCAAATTCCAAATTACTGCTCATTTGACTGGAAGATTTTTCTACGATTTTTACCATATTAAAAATTAATTTGATCCCTTATATGGCGATAAGATTGATATATACTTTTTAATAGATTTGTATAGCACATCCACACAGTTGAAGCCCACGGTTTAAATATTGAAGCCCACTGGTTAAAAATGGGTACAGGTATTTTAAAACACTTTAAATCGACCTGTACGTGAACACTTATATCAGTCATATCTGTGAATAATTATGCTTGGGAATATATGCATAATAGACAAAAACTACGGGCCGGCAACGCGGACCGGGCCAGCTAGTATGATATTAATATTATAATAGCAGATGGATAAATCAATTGTAAAGAATCGCTGAGTTGTTTCGCAATTTATGACAGATAAAAATATTGAAAAATGTGTCCCTTTGTGGGTAAGGTACCAGCAGGTGTTCGCAGATATATAGCATCTTCACAACAGATCTGGTGTTAGCAAAAATGCTTGTATGTGTGAAATTTGAAGAGAGTTGGATCCTTATTTCGCTTTCTTTGAGCGTTATGTTTTTCAAAATTAGATTATTGCTTCACTTTCTGTGCAGAAAATATATATTTTTAAAATTTCGACCATTTGTGGGGGAGGTACCAGAGGGAGTGGACCGATATACTCCATCTTTACACCATACCTTGGGCTAATAAAATGATTGGGATGTGTGAAATTTGAAGATAATCGGACTCTTACATCACATTTTATGAGAGTTGTAATTATTCTAAATTTTGACCATTTGTGGGGGAGGTACTTGAAGGAGTTAACCAATGTTGTCCATTTTCGCACCAGACCTAATACCGATGCAAATATTACGACGTGCTAAGTTAGAGCAAAATCGGATCATCGTTTCTCTTTCTGTGCAAAGAATATTTTTTTGCAAATTCCAACCTTTTGTGGGGGAGGTACCAGAAGGAGTGGACCGATATTGCCCATCTCCGAACTCGATCTAAGTTTGACAAAGATATTACGATGTACCAAGTTTGGACCAAATCGGATACTCCCTTCGAGAGTTATCGTGCGCACCAGCCAGCCAGACAGACAGACGGACGGACATCGCTAGATCGACTTCAAATGTTCTGAAACGGATTTGGTCCAAAGAGACCTAGGGTCTAAAACCGTTATTTCGACTAGGCACGTTTTGACCGTATCAAATGATATATACCCTCTGTAGCCATATGGCTGAGGGTATAAAAAAAATGTGAGAAGGATTTTGTTGGAACGTTTCCTTCCCACTAGAACCAACGTTTCATAGGTGTGATTTTTTATACCCTGAGACATACGTGCCTCATCAAAACTTTGTACCAAATACCTTTTGAGGACATTTGGAGTCGGATACGTCCGTCCGTCTGTCTGGTTGGTGCGCACGATAATTCTCTAAGGGAGTATCAGATTTAGTTCAATCTCGATATATTGTAATACTATTATTAAACTTAGATCGAGTTCGGAGATGGGCAATATCGGTTAACTCCTTGTCGTGCCTCACCCACAAAAGGTCATATTTTTCATAAAAAATAAATTACCACTTTTGTTGCAAATCCCAGGTACAAAAATGGACAATATCGGTCCACTCCATCAAGTACCTTCCCTACAAAGGGTAAACATGTTGAATAACTGTAACTCTTATAAAATCTGATCCAATCCAATATTTCTACTAGCAAAAGATCTGTTGTGAAGATGGTAGATATCGGTCAACTCCCTCTGGTACCTCACTCACAAAGGTCATAATTTTCAATAACAATACACACATAAAAGCGAAATTATAATCCGATTATCTTTAAATTTCACATATCCCAATACTTTTACTAACTAAAGAGCTGATGTAAAGATGCACCTCCCCCAAAAAAGGGGCTTAAAATTTTGAATATCATAAATGCTAATAACACATTCTAATATTTATACTAACACAAGACTTACTGTCAAGATGGGATATATCGGCCTACCACTTCTAGTACCTCCCCCACAAAACCTCACTATTTTCAATATTTATATCTACAACAATTTGCGAAACAAGTCAGCGATGCTTTTTCGAACTTGATACATACAGGATGAGATAAAAAACTGCCACGTCCTACAACGCGGTAATTTTTACACTTTTTTAAAATTTTATTGAATGAAAGCAACGAATGTTGAAAATAGCATCAAATTTTAGAATATGTTTAGATTTGTTCGAATTGGTCACCTTTGGCACGAATTATAGTCTTCAAACGGCCAATGAAACCTTCACATGCTACCCGAATGTTGCTCTGCCATATTTTGGTCCATTTCCGGCGAAGCGCTTGCTTGAGGTGATCGACACTTTTGCATTTTTTACTGCCAACCTTGCTTTCCAAAATACTCCGGACACAATAGTCCAACGGATTGGTATCCGGGGATTTTGGTGGCCATTGTGCGCTGGAAATGAAGCGAGGAACCTCATTTTGTAACTATTCTTGGGTGGCGAGTGCTGAGTGCGATGGTGCTAACTCCTGTTGGAATGTCCAAGGTCTGCGGCCAAATTGTTTGCGAGTCCAAGGCTTTTAATACAACCTCAAGAAAATTTTACGATAATATTCGGCATTTGCGATATTTCACCATGGCCGACGCTTGATTTCTGGTGGCCAACCGAAGGTGCACATTTCCAGCTGACCTCTTTGGCAAGTAAACACGATCATTTTGTTTGTTTACAAGTTGGACAACGAATGTTTTCTCATCGGAGAAAACCTAATTCGGCAGTTCAGCACTAGTTCAGCCTAGCGAAGCAACTCTATAGCTCTTTTGAGTCTATTTTCTTTCTGTTGCGGTGTAAATTCTTGCACTTTTTGAAATTTCAATGGCTTTACCCCGAGCTCATTTTTCAATATTTGAAGAAAGGAATATTGCAATATGTTCAGCGCAGGAGCCATTTTTCGGCCACTGCGACGCTTATTTCGATCAAGTCGCTTTTTACATTTCGAACCATTTCTGCTGATGTTGCTGTTTTCTTCTGTCCGCTTTCTTGACGTCGGGCTACGCTACCAGTATCACGCTAATGAGCGATGGTACTAGGCACAAAAGATTTATTCACATTTGAATGCTGTAGTGCTCTAACTATAGCCACTTGTGATTTTCCAGCCAAATATGAAGAAATCACACTATCACGCTTCAATTCCATCACGAATAACTTTTTTCTGGAAAATCCTTCTAATAAGCTTTTGTACGCTTCTAAACAATATAATGAGCTGTCACTGGAATAATTTTAATAGCTGTCGAACTATTGGCTTAGAAATGGCAGTAGTCTGATCATTGCAGTGGTTGCAGTTTTCTTCATCTCACCCTGTATATAACATTTTTTTAGAAAGTGACGTTTTTTAAGTCTTTCGAATCTTTTCCATGTTCTATCTTAACAACATCTCCCATCAAATTATTAAATACAATAATATTTGAGAATCATTTCAAATTCTTGTAACTATAGTTGGTCCTAAAATATTAGCAACTCAAAATTATTGCTCGAAGTAATATAAAACTTTTGAAGGCCGTTTTTGCATCAAGAAGGAATCCAAAATATCTTCCATTAATATGATATATCTTGCAGATACCATATTGTAAAATATCTCGACATTGTCTTTATTTATAGATGAGCTTCAGTCGAGTTTTGAATCAGAAGAAGGCATCATTAATTGTTTTCTTTTATAAAAAAAATAATTCTAGAAGAATGGTTATGATCCTTTTCCTCACGCGAATTCTAAAGGAACTTTTTTACCCCTAAGATTGTATTTGCTTATAATACAATGTTAATATGCATTGTTACAATATAGGACCTGTGCTATATATTTCACCAGAAAAATGTGTCTGCAATCTCTTCTTTCTACATGCATTATTGAAATATCACAAAAATTTTGCAACACGTATTAATAGTTGTTTACATTTGCTTCTATTTTCAGATTCCAAGCATCTGGTGATCATTTGCCCGTTGCACCTCCAGCACCACCACAGCCTGTGCCACAACCCGGCTATGCACCACAGCCACAATACCAACCACCAGCAAGCAATTATCGCGCCGATGATTACGGTGATGATGGCTCTTACGATCCTCGTTACAATGATCCCAACTTCAGTCAAAATCAACAACCCTACCGTCAACCTGCTCCCGCTCCAGCCTACAATCCACCAGCTCCCGCTTACAATCCTCCAGCTCCTGCCTACAATCCACCAGCTCCAGCATACAATCCTCCACCACCACAATACAATGCTCCTCAGCCCCAATACAATCCACAACCCCAACAATACTATCAACCCACAACACCCAATCCCCATCGTTTTGCACCACCCGGTAAACTCTCTCTGAATCGTACACCCGATGGTTTTACATACAGTTTTAACAAAGTTCGTTAAATGCCTAGTTGATAATGCGTTAAGAGAGTGATAGAATGAGTTTTGTTTAATTTTTTTCATTTGTAATAAATATTTTAAACAATTTTTATTAGTTTATATCAGTGTCCCACAAGGAACTACCTTTTTTATAATATTTCTTCTTTTTTATAAATTTTATATTTCTCTTTCACTCTCTTTCACATTTTCATACTCAACCATTTAGTTGGAGACTCTATTCACAATCACTGCCGTTTTCCGTTCCACCACTATAATGATCGCGATCTATAACCCAACCTCTCTATACGTTTCCATTTTCCATTACCACTTTGCCCTTCCACCAACCAACTTCATCCTCACGCAATGCATTTTTTATTTCCTTTCGAACTCTCTTGATCTTGTGATATCTCAAAAATTGTTGCAACAATTCTTTTCAGGTTTAATTTTCCTTTATTTTAAATATTTTTTTGTTTGTTTTATAATTTAAATAACTTTTCCTACTGAACAAATACTCTCCTGTATTTCGTAAGAATTTATTATAAAGAACAACAAAAAAACTGTCAACCTCAAGTATAATGTGTGTGCTAACAAAAGGTTTGAATCTTTTTTGAAAATAGAAAAGTTATAATAAAAATTAATGAAATTCAATACATTTAAAAAATATAATTTATTTACGACGACGGGGACCTAGGCAACTTTGGTCATAAGCCATTGCAATTTTCAAATGCGAAACTTGAAAAAAAGGTAAATAATGTAGCTACAATCATTAATATAGGGAAGTACTATTAAATGGGGGCTATGCCAGAATGTGGACCTGTACATAAAAATGCCGAATATCGGGAGGTACCGTTATATGGGGGCTATACGAAGACGTGGACCTGCGCAGACAATTTTCTTTCATAGGATGTATTAGCCATAGCGAATTCCAAATACCAAAATTGAAACAATTCCGGTGAATAATGTCGCTAAAATCATAAAATATCGGGAGGTACCGTTATATGGGGCTATACGAAGCACCGGACCTGCACAGATATTACGAACTTCAAATTCCAAATTTGAAACATATCCGGTGAATAATGTCGCTTACCGAAATACCGAAAATATGGAGGAACCATTATATGGGGGCTTTACAAAAACGTGGACCTACATGGCCCATTTTCAATACCAAAAGTTCTGCGGACATTGTATACATTTTTCTAAAATTTTTTCAACCTACTTTATTACGTTCAAAAGTAGGGTGATTTTCACAGATGGACAAACTAATAGACGGAAAGACATCGCTAAATCGACATAGATTTAGAGTCTAAAATGTATATTTCGGGGTGTTACAAACGGAATAACAATCTTAATATACCCTCCATACTGTAGTGAAGGATATAAAAAGTAATAAAATTGGAAGACTTTGTACTGGACAAACGGAATGAGCTAGAATTCTGCAATTTGTGAGGGTGAGAGTCACTGATGGAGTGCAGGATAAATGTAACAAAGGTTTTCTGGAAATTCGAACTTTAAGGTTAGAAAGGTGGAAGGTGGAAATTTGGTATAACAATCAAGGCTGGAAAATATGTTCGATATATAAAGGTGGTAGCTTTATGTCAAAGAGGTGTTTTTGAAAAAGTGTACTACAAATGCACGAAATTAATAAATATTCCTATATTTGGTACAATTTAATATTATGTGAACAAATAGTTCTTGTAAAGCGTCCACGAAAAGTATTAAATGGTACTAAATTTAGTATTAGATGAATGGATGGGGCTGGAGTCCTATTGATATTGAGGCCTCTATTGGTATCTGTGATTGAGAATAGGAGTTATTTTTGGATATACGTTCTTTAATTGTACTAAATGGAATCCAATTTGGTAATAGGGGAATTAAAGAGCTCAAATACTGGCATTTGATATTAATGTCACAGTTGGTATCTGATGTTGAGATTTGGAGATTGTTTTAAAAATGCGTATTATGATTGTATCCGGTGATGGGAAAGAGCCGAAATTCGAACATTTCTGTTGGTTTCTGAAGTTTGGGAGGTAAGGAGGTGGCTTTGGAAATGTGTACTATTAATGTACGAAAAGTGTAAAATGACACAAAATATTTAGTTGGATAGAGATGGATTTCTGATAATTGGTATTGGGGTCGCTGTTGGTGTTTAGGGAGTAGAAAAAGAGGTAGTTTTGGGAATGCGTACTATAACTGTGGATTTGGCAATGCATGCTATGATTGTTCGAAAAGTACCAAATGGTAGTAAATTTGCCGTTGATTGAATAAAATGAGAATTGAGTCCGAAAATTTGATGCAGTGGCGGAAATAATTTTGGCAACAAAAAATTGGGTGCGGAACAGTGTGCAAGGTTTTAACTAATACACTCCTCGGTAAACTTTTGATACAAAATATAATCATTTTTCTATTATTCTTTTCGATGGCTACAAAAATTGTTTTTTACTGACGACCCTCACATGGCATAAAACACCTCTGTATGGTATTCTCTCAATTGTATGACTGTAGGTAGAATGTCTTCTACTTGGAGAAGGCTTGAACATCTGTGGACTTTCTTCTGTCAATAGGCTGGAACTGCTTCAGCAAAACTTTCCATGGAATTTTTGTAAAATTTTAATATACCGTATCTATGTATATTTGTTTACTAGACCACAGATGTTAGTGTATAATCTTTCGAGCCTATTTTACTTCTCCAGGGTGAAAAACATCTGCAGTTTGATTACACGAAAAAATACAGGAAAAACTGAATGGATTATGAAAGTAGTGCTAAAAATAGAGGACATATGTATGGGCGTTTTGAAAATTATATACAATAAAAATATCTGCATCAATGTTGTTAAAAACTTTTAACAGGCCTTTTTCTTAACAGTAACATAAATCTTCTACATGAAATTTCAGTGAGAAGTCCACCTTAACATTTTAGATTCGTTTCAATAGTTCGTGTTAGGCCTTTTTAGTATTTAAAATGCACAATTTTTTCAGTTTAAGAGAAATGTTTAATCAAAACTTCATAGAACGTACTAAATATTCAGATTTTCAACGTTTTATATATCATTCATGTTTTTCCTTTTTCAGAAAGAATAATAGGAAAATGTTTACCTTTAACACCAAAAAGTCTTCTAAATCGTTCATTTAGAAGTTTACCGAGAATCATATGAGTAAAAACATTGCGCAATCGACCCACATCCAATTATTCTGTTCAAAACTATTTATAGACGTCACCATATGAAAACCTTAGTAACCAACAGTGACCCCAATTTCGGGATTTCAGCCTTACATACTCAACTTAATCTCAACCTTACACACTTACAGTAATATTAATACCAAATTTCAGATTTCAAATAGTATCCGATCACGTAATATCAAATTAAGTACCTTTCCCACGCTTGCTAAACGCATGTCATAACCCAACTGGGTTGTGGAAAACTGCAAGGCGTTTCAGATTCTAAGGCCAAACTCTCCTTAAGGCCTCCATTTATTCTTGACCATATACAGTTAATATAGATATATTTTAATGACTGGGTTAAAAAGTAGACCAACATTACATTTATATATAGACCTTATGTAAGGATTGAACCCGATTTCAATTTTTTTTACATTTATTCTACTAATTTTGGCCAAATTTTCGGTTTTTGAGATCTTCTATGTAGAAATGCTACAAGCGGAACTTATCAATGTTGATCCGCTGTTTGGACAGCCCTTATATAAAGATTCCCATTGATTATAGTTGTTGTCAGCATTTGACTAAATTTTCATCATCGTTCCGTTTTTGGAAATGCATATAAAAAGGCACGAAAAGTACTAAAATATACTAAAAAAATTGGAATGAGAGTCACTAATGGAGTGCAGAATAGACGTAGCAAAGTATTTTTAGATATAAAAACTATAAGGTTACGAAAAGCTCCAGAATGGTACCTTACTTCTAAAATGTTTAACTTTTAAAATGTTTTAAATGGTTTTATGTAAACAGATAGAGCTAAAAAAAAATTGGTACTAGAATCAAGGTTGGAAAGTAAGTGCGAACTGTTCTAAATTTGGAACAATTTGGTTTAAGGTGAACGTTTAGGCAGCCCTTTAATAGAGATACCCCTTTTTTAGTTATTTTCCAAATGTGGACACAATTTTCTCCATTGCTCCATGGTTTTAGCAGTGCGGTGTAGTCAAGCTATTTTTGACCAGATTTGGCTCCAATTTCAGACGCCAAAAATATGTAATTTGCCATTTTCAACATCTAATCTGGATTTTTATACCATACACCACACTGTGGTCAGGATATTATTCGTAACATGAAGAAGGAGACGAGATAGATCCATAGTTACTTTTGAGTGTTCTCATAGAAAAATGCAGATCACATTTATAGTCCCATATAAATACATAAAATTGTACACAACTCATTTGTTTGACCCAAGGAGGAACAGTATTGAAATTTATGAGAATCGGTTTAAATTTAGATAAAACTTCCATATATAGTTTTTCGTCCGATTTCAATTTTATTGTGCGCCATATGTATAGTAATCATCCAAATAGGATGTGTTTCGGCACATTCGACCAAATACTGCCTAGAAGAAAGTGATTCAAATGCGGTTTAGATATAGGTATATATATGTTTCATCCGATTTGCGGTTTTAAGTGCCTCACATGTGTAATATGCACTCCAGAAGAATGATATTTGTTACCGGACATCAGATAATGCTCGAAAATACCTCTGTCAAATTTTATCGATATCGGTTCAGGCAATTACGACTGAATTCATCCTATAAACCAGTATAGCTCTCATATATATGTTTTATCCGATTTGGGGTTTAAAGGCCCTCACAAGCGTAATTTGGTGAAAATTGGTTCAGATATAGCTATAGCTCCCATATATATGTGTTATCCGATTTTGATGTTTAAATCCTTTACATTCGCTATATGCACTCCACAAGACTGATATTTAGCACCATATATCAGATTCAGCCTAGCAATTCATAGATCACATTTTATAAATCATCATCCGATTTTAGGTTTCTTGTGCACCAAATGGCCAATATCAGTCCAAATGGTGTGAATTTTGGCACTTCCGATCGAAATTAGTATAGAAGTAAGTACTTTAAATTTGGTGGAAATCGGTTCAGATATAGCTATAGCTCCCATATATATGATTCATCCGATTTGGTGTTTAAATCTCCAACTTTCGGAATATGCACTCTACCATAATCATATTTTGTACCAGATATCCCATAGAGCTCAGAAGTGTCCAATATAAACCTTTTTTACGAGAGATGACCATTAAACAAATTTTAGGTCCCGTGTTACTTTCTAATATTATTCTTTATAATATTATATTATTATTATATTATATTTTTTCATGTTTCTGCCACAATTTCTGACTTAATGAAAACCAGTTTGACATTTCGGAACCAAATCTACTCTGAAATTGAAAATGTTATGCAAAGAGGGTTTCTACCCCCTTAAAAACAAAGATGCCAAATAAGGGGCTAAAAATGAAAAAAGTAACCAAGACAACGAAAATAGCTCATATGATGGTGATACCAAAACCGGATCATTTTGTCCAAGTATGGTTTCTTCTCAAATTACCAACATTTGCCGAAATTAGTATGAACAAGTAAAAAACATTAAGTTAGGGTAAAAGAAACATTAGAAAAAATGTGTCA